GTCTCTGTCAAGGAGCACTCCAGGGAGCGTTTCTGAGGACATCAAAGATACAAAGCAAAGGATGAAACCACCCTGAGGACTCTGTGGTACCATGTTTCTCAGCAACCAGCAGGACTGCTCCCTGGGCAAGTTTTGGAAATGTGTGGGGCTTGTCATAATCAAATGGGAGTTGGAGGCTGGGGTGGGGACAGGCCTGCTGGATGACCTGACAGGGAATAAGCAACCCTTTCCCCACTCGACTTCTGGATGACCCACTAGATATTCATGGTATTTAGGTAATACTTCCTATTAGGACCAATCTACGTATGAAAGTACTTTTGGGGGTAGCACAGTAAGAAATCAATATGGGAACATTTGTCTTTTTGAAGTTACATATTTATTTTTGGGTTGCCTGTTGTATTTCAATTTCACTCTGCTGTGTCCCTATCGTATTCCGAGGCCCACTGTGCTATGGTTTCCTTTTCTAATCCATCCTTGACTTTCTGTCATCACCAAAGGATGGACACACTTGAGACAGGAACAAACACCTTACCGAGTGGGTTTTCAAAGCCAGAAGTGCATTTCACAACACAGTACAGGTCATTATCTCGACACTACTCTTATGAATACTATACTTCCTCTCTTCTACTTCCATAGTCTGTAATTTGTCTTGGCATGTGATCTTTACTTCAATGAAGGAAATTTCCCTCTTTCCTTTATCATGTAGAAATATGACTGGGCAGTCGTTACTTCTTTCTGATATTCATTATTATCAGAATGTCTACCGCCCCTCTTCTACTCTTTCATTTTCTTTTTTTTTCCTTGTGTAGAGTGACTCCTGTTCTTATATTGCTAAAAATAAAACATTTATTAAAAGAAGATGCAAGGCTCTGTCTGACATTTTCTGGGGTGGTTGGGCCCAAGTTTAAAAATACTTTTCTTTTTTCCTTTTAATTGTGATGGTGGCACTAGTCTTAGAAATAATTTTGTGCATTGCTAAATATTATGTATAATCAATATTATGTATTGATTTTGTTTTAGGATTGCAAAGAGGTAGATGTAAAATATTCATCATGGTAGCAGACATATGCCCAAATGGTACTAACTTAGGAAACCGAGTGGGCTGACCAGGAGTTAGGCTGGTCAGGTGGGGGGTCCTGGACTCTTCAGGAGCATTTGGGTGGAAGCTGATCAGGAAGGTACAGGGGAAGTTCAGTTAACGAGTAGCAAGATTCTGGTGAAGTGAGGTAATTTCAAAGCTCAGCAGTTTAAAACCTTAATTTCCCCAAAGGTGTGTCCTCATAAGGCACTCTTTTTTAAGTTTGCTAATGCTCTCATAAGTCAGAGGAGACAACAACTCTACATATGTCACAGCTTTCCACTGTAAAGGCTGGCCTGTCGTGAGGAAAGTAGGCAGGATGAACTTGGGAGTCTGCATACTGCAAGAAGCAATGTGAATGTCAATAGATTGACACAGCTCCCAACTCACAATTGACTTACGTTGTCTAACTATAAGAAATTGAACTTAGATTTTTATCTTAGGTCAAAAAGCAGAGAAGTTAGGTTCTATGCCACTATTATTCTATCATTCAGTGGTGTTGGATGTTAAATGGGCTTTCTGGGGAGGAATCTCTCACGACCCCAAGCCATAGTACTGTGGGTTGCACAGAATCTAACTGCTCTATAATATCATAGCTTCTTTTGTGCAGATGATTTAAATTCTGTTCTGGGGGCTCAGAAATTTAT